CACTGGACAGCATGCTGGGATCTCAAGGTCCCGGTCCACGTAATTCTTCTTGACTTCGCCGAAGCCTTTGACGCCGTCTCACACCATATCCTAATACATAACACAGCTGGGTTAGGTATTCGCAGCCAGGTGCTATCGTGGCTGCAGAACTACTTAGACAACAGGGAGTTCTGCACGAAAGTCAACAGGGTCTATTCAACTTGGAGAACATCCTCATCCGGTGTCTCACAAGGAGCAATCCTTGGTCCACTGTTGTTTCCACTGTTCGTAAATGACCTCCCGCCACATATCAGCTCTCCGATTCCCCTATACGCCGATGACGTCAAGTTATTGAGGGCAATAACTTGTGAAGCGGAATCGAGTGCATTACAGAACGACTTCAGAACACTAGAGGAATGGGGAACCGATAACGAACTGGCATTTAACCTGGATAAGTGCCGGTCCATGCTTTTTTGCACTCCTGATCGCCAGAAAATATCCTACTATCTCTGTGGTTCACGTCTATCCCATACCACAATAGAAAAAGACCTGGGTTTAACGGTGATGGAGGAACTGGACACCAGTTCCAACTACCCAGGTGATGTCTCAAAAGCATATGATGTACTACACTTTGTGCGTAGACAACTGGGTGCCCTCACCCCAGAACTCTTTCTGAAGCTCTACAAGACTTACATACGGCCCCACTTGGAGATCCATAAAGTCTTAGCTCCACCACAGCTGAAAAGAGGCGCAAACTTACTGGAGAAAGTCCAGAGGCGAGCCACAAAAAGGGTCGTTTTGATGCGACGAAAACTATATGAGGACAGATTGAAAGACCTAGGTCTATACTCCCTTGGCTATCGAAGGATACTTGGCGACTTTGTAATGGCTTACAAAATAATGAGTAACCCAAGTCATCCAAACAGAGGAGTCCTACCGAGTGGCCACTACGGAGATCCTCGAGGAAGCCCCAATAGCACACCAGAGGTCAAAAACGCATGTGCTTTCACAGTTCTTCTCCCTCCGAGTCTGTGGGTACTGGAACGCACTACCAGCAGAGGTGGTCTCCGCCCCAACTGTTGAAAGCTTCAGGAAGAGGCTAGACAGTCATACAGAGACTCATGGTCTACCCACGCACAGCTGGAACACGAAATGATGTCAAGCCACCCCAACCAGTTTTCTTTCTATTGTAACCATTTAAGCCCTTTCCACCCCTTCCACTTGCAATAAGTTAACCTCACTTACCTGAGTTCTTCATACCTTTGCACCCCCTACTCACCTTACTTGGGTGTAAGTAGATCACTCCATTAGTTCACTTTTCCTTTTTTTTACTCACACAAACACTTTCCAGGTTTTCTCTTCACTATCCCCAACCCTCTCTAGCGACCAGTCCTAGCAACTGTGTGGCAACTCGACATCTGAAGGTGCCAACTGCACCGTAGTCCAAGGCAAAGAAACCAAAACTTAACTTCCTGTTCTGTAAATCAGAGCTATAAAAAACGAGTGGCTGGACCTACTGCATCGGAATCCGCCAAAGATCTGGAGCCGTTCCGCAAGACCAAGAAGCGAGCACGAATAAATCAACTGGTTTACACAAGCTCGTTAAAAAGATATTGGATATTGGAGTAACTGGCGATTTTTCTCTCCCTAAAGAACTAATACTTGGTTTGAATGTTGTTTCTAGATTTGTATGGATGGAACTACACTGAATTCAGCATCAGTTTCAAACAGTAACTGTACTCTTGTCTTCTTAACCGTCAAGTGATAAGATAACTGTTTGTTTTCTCTACACATATGACTGTCAGCTTCTCCGTTTTCAAAGAAAATGGGTAACGAAGAGACATAGTTACCGACAAAATCACTCTTAACTCCCAGTGACACCAGAACACGCTACATTTTGACAAAGTTCCTCTTTCAGCTCTACTATGGCTTAATGATATACTGCTATGACCACCTAAAATAGCCATCACTTGTCATACCAGTATGTCAATCATCCAATTTCAAGAGACAACTCGACAATCTTGTGTTGACTCAGCAATTTGCCCGCGCTGTTTCGGCATCACTTGGTAAAAACGATCGAGAATGTCAGAATCACCAAATACTAATACTTGGAGGAAGTCTACATAACCAAAGTTAGCAAAACAGATAGTCATCTAAAATCTTATCTTTCGATACAGTCCTCGTATGTTGCAGTGAGATGAAATAGAGTTTACCTAAATTCGAATAGGGTTTTTTTGATTAAATACAAACGGACACTAGTTGGGACATTACTTAACATTGCAGGAGTCATAACTAGAAGAAGAGTCGCCAGTGGATACCCACAAGCCCTCACCAAAAGATAAGGAAAAACCGAAGGCGAAAGCCTTAAGACAAACATAATTAACGAGAAGCTTACACTTATTTCCCTCAATTTTAAGTGATGACATTCCAGGAACGACTGAAGACATCACTTTTCCTACTTGGAGTTTTATTCTTGTGTATCGAAGAATATATTCACAGGTCTAGTAAGAATTCGACAAATACCTTTCTTGTATTACTCCATACTTGAATAAAATCTCATTCAACAACCTTGAGAACGTTCGTGTAGTGGGCAATGAGACACACCTATTGTGTGGGGCTAACGATACTACCAGGCTGCCCAAACCTCGGTAGGTGGAACGATGACCGGATGCATGACCCAGTGGTTGAAAGTCAACTGACTGCGTAAACCGATAGGCCAAGACTCTACTTCATACGGTCTACATTAATTCATGTAGCTGCCAAACCATATACATTAGAGCGGAAATTAAAACCTACTTTAGACTTTTTGAATACTTTCCAAACAGGCGGAAGTACGAAGTATCACACTGAACAACACAGTACCACGATAGTGGATTGTCACAAGTAATCAGTTGGACGTCTTCAATATTTCCAGGATGATAGTTCGCTCATGTCATAATCTATTAAGCGCTTAACCTGGTTTGTATCCAAAAGGAAATAATGGTCAGAGTCTGTGTGCTTTGATAAGCTATTCACCATCTTCATTCTCGTTTTCGAACATGAGGTTTTACCTGGTCTAAATGTTTTTCGTTTACTTTTATTGAGTTACATTATTCTCCAACAAACCTATTGTTGGCAAGCATTGAATCCAACTAACTGCGCTTTACTTAACATTTTGTATGTCCTCCCAATAAACTTAGTTATCTTATGACTTAATTACGTCATGTATTTTGAGCCCCTTTACATTTCGTTTGGTTACTATCCCTGTTGTCTTCTCAAGAAACTTCAGTAGCACTATATATGTAATTGTGATAATCTGTTAAACTTATCTGACCTTCTTTGGATTTGCCATCATGACTTACTACTCCACCATGACGACTTCTTTCCGTCTTAACTAGGGGTCGATATTCTGTTCCTTCCAGCAGCTTAATATATGTTAAATTTTCAATTAAATTGTGTAAACATTCTATATTGTAAGCAGTTGATAAAGTACAAACGAATATGATAGGTTATATCTTGCTTATCAAAAACCCTGTTTTCTCATCGTTGTAATTTTGGACCTAAACCTATATGCCGTAGTTCAGAACTAGGTTTCTTTTCCTTTTCTTCTTTGATTATCTCTATACAATCACGACATTCCCTATTCTGCACTTTGTGATCGAAAAAATTTGGCAAAATCTGATTCTTATCTCCTCTATGCATTATATATAATAAAACCTCAAGTTTTTTTCTGTTCTGCAATACAATACAATTTAGAGTCCAAAATGTTTTTAGAATAACATAACTTTTGCACTTTCTCTCAAGTCAATTCACTAAAATAACGCATGAGTAGGTTTACTGTGGCTATGTGCTGCTTGAAATTATCAGTACAATTTCAACATATTGCTAAATATCTGCAGGTTCATATAACTTTTGATTTCTTCAATGAAAAGAATTTCAGGAACCATCAGACCAAGCTTAGTAACATCATCCATCTTGGAAAAAATGTTATAAAAAAACACCATCAATTTCATTTATCTCGGCATATATTACCTATGCCGAGCCACTGCCTACCACGACATGCCATGCTAGAGAAAGTTGGATTAGGATAGAAAAGGGTTTAGGGTGACCAAACAAAGACCTGGCACCAGTCGATACAGTCCTGACTGTTGGTTTGAGCCGTGTAGGAGAATGTAGATTGTCTGGTTAAGGTCTCCGAGACGAAACAAATCAGTGGTTGAGGACTCTTAGTGACATCGCTGAAAATTGATCATAATGGCACATATGTATTCACTTTTGATGTTTTCTGAAGCTTAGATATCCACACCAAACTTTATGTTCAAGTCATCTATTTTCTCATATAACTTTGTCTACTTTGATATCACTCTTTTTCTATCCACTTATTCTTTGTGTACTATTGTGAAGTGTGGCAACTTGAGCTGATGCACCTGTATGTGACGTTCTACTTGGATTTTGTCAATCAATCAGTAATGACAACCTACAATGGAAACCATAAAACAAGAGACTACGGAAACAATATTTTTCAGTACTGTCTTTTTAGACCATCCGTATGCTTGTATTGTTCAAAAGTGTAACACAATAGTCAATAAACAACTAAAACCGATCACAACTGACAGCTCAAATAGTCTACCTGCTTCTAGAAAACAAAACCTCGAAACAGTAACCAGTGCAAAGAAGTAGCTTTCTAGACAACAAGAGTAATGGGCTTTGAAGAATATAAACACTCGTATACAAATACTGTGTTTCTCTGACTACAATATTTAGTAACTGGTATTATTGGATATCAAATGTTTCAAGTCTAAAGTGATGTTACGAATCAAGTTTTAAAAGGATGAATTTTATTCTGACTTATACAAAAAATAATGATGTGTATACACATATTGAATCCATGACGGCCTATTGTTTGAACAAAGCTTAGTAGGATTTTATACAGAAATTTACTGAAATATATATCAATACAACATTTTGTAGAAAAATAAGACTTGATCCTTATGGTTCTCTGCATAAACTATTCAAATAATTAAAATAATTCATACTGAGAATCATATTAAAATGACATCACCACTTTCCACGTAGGACTGAATACAACTATATGGTAAGAGATGTTGAGCACCAGGTTCTAATGTAAGTGATACAGAGCTGAATAATAAATAATTAAAAATTAATGAAAAGTGAGAATGTGATATTATTGGAAAAGAAAAGTAACTGAACGAGATGGTGATTGATTAGTAAACAATCATCGTAATTAAAGTCAATAGTAAGCCAACTCATATTAAATCTATTGCCCTAAAGCCAATAGCTAGTTAATAGATTTAGGCAATATTCACTAACTTCGGGTTTCATCTATAACTTTACTATCGATGACGTTAATGTGTACAAAAATTGCTCATCGACCCGAGAATACACGATTGCTTTGAAGCCCCACTCCTCTTTTTCTCTCCATGAAATTGGTCATATCCTGTGGCAAAAGCATATTAACTATCCAGAAGTGGATGAAGCAAGTGCTTTGATGTGAAGATCATTAATCAACAAGCAATGTCATCGTAGAATAACTAGCCACGGTATGCCACTACTCTACCGGTTCATATACTGTTCACGAAGAGAGAGAGAGAGAGAATCTATTGGAAGAACAAACGCGATCATTCTTTGACTTCATGCCGTAGGATGCAAGGTGATAATGTTGGCTTAGTGACTGTAACATACATATAAAAATTAGGTTTCAGTCATATGATAGTGTAATTCACTAAGCTTGAGAAGAATTCAGATATAGTTGGTAATCGATCATTCTGTTGCTTTTTCCAGTCTTCTAATTTCGAGAAGTAATGTAGAAACGATCAAAATATGGACATATTTTGTGTGAATAATTCATTTTCCATCCAAGCATCACATCATCCTTCATTCGATGTATCTATGTCGTAATATTGTATATCTCAGTACCTGTGTCATACTAAGCTTTCTTTTTAATAAATTAGGTATCAAGCAAGAATTCCTTCTGAATTGTATAAGTACATTTTTTAGCTGTGGTTTGTAATCCAGGATCTTCTATAAAGTTTTACCTTTGATTTCCATTCTAAATTGAATCGCATTATACAATAAACGACTTTGAACACGCATCATTTAAGACAGGAATTGAAAATGATGTATTTCAGCTACTTAAATGACCATTTCCAAACATCTGATACCACGTTAGATGATTACGATAGACTATATATACTGCCTCAAGAGATTCCAAAATACTATATAATAATAAATGAAGTGACAGTAGCATAACTAGATGAGAAATAATTCCACTGACCATAATGTTGAGACGAAAATAATTGAAATGCACTAAGCAACCTTGTACACATTCGCACAGAATCCAATGGCCTACACATATTACGTAAGGGTTAATGATTCAACCAAGTAAATAATATCGTATGTTACAGATCAAATAAACAACTCTAGTATGGAATTACATTATACCACAGTGCTCAAGTTTTACACTTATATTAAATGATGATTACTGATACCATCTGCCTGTCAAAACCTCTGTAGGTAAAGCGATGTTCGAACCTTGCTAAACCAGTGAGTCACAACACACAGGTAAGCAAGTCAAATCAAAACTTATAGAACACACTGATCCAATTATGGTACATTTTGTTTCAATATACTGAACACTTCTACAATTAAAATGAGTCAAGATGACAAGAGATATGACACGAAAATACATCCAGTCGTTAATCACATCTAGGAAGTAAGCAACAGCACAAATAGTCCGAAATGAAAACAAAAATTCTACGGTACTGTGAGTAACTTCTTTATCTCATCTAATCATGAATATACTTATATGCTAAGTATAACAAACCACATTATATCACGCTAATCCAGTAAACAAGAGAATAGTTTCATCTAATCGTAAAATTTAATGTGACCTTTAAGGCTACTCACTCAATCCAATCATATTTAGTGAAGTGGACTAGAACTGTGAGGTTACATATTATCTCAATGGATGATCCATAGTTCAAACGTGTGATATGATGTTTGCAAGTTGCTCATAAGTCAATGAGTAACGAAATTATTAGTGTTTTTTCTAGATGACCAACCAGATATCACATAAAACAATTACTTATAGTTTACATCTGTGTGTGATAAATAAATAAAAACAGATTAAAATGCATTTTCGGGTTCTTAGCAGAAAATCTAACAAAATAAATATCATTACTATTGATTGATATGCTTGTAATTCTCGGTTTCTTTTTAACTAGATCGAATTTTTCGACCTCTATTGAGATATAGGTTCCTATGCGGATGCCTCGATATCGTCTGAATATTAATTACGGTAATATACTTGGTTGTGGCTAGCAGAGGAATTCAGGATGCGCGTCTCGTCCTATTTGGGACTCGCCAGCAGGATGCGCCTGCATCCCAGTGCGGTGTGTTGTTCCCACTGAGACTCAAACCTACTACCCATTGCTTTAAACGCTAGAGTGTTATCCACTAGGCCACTGAGGCACGATAGATACCTCTTGTACAATGGGTATTACTTATTACCATTTACTGATATGCTTGTAATTCCCCGTTTTCTATTGGACCAAATTGTTAGACCTCTATTGGCATATAAGCTCCTATGCGGATCCCTTGATACTGAATATTAAAATAAATAGCTATGAAATTTACTTGTGAACTTCATCTAATTTTAAATTATTCACAAAAACTTACGTTTGAGTTCCATCTGAATTATAATCAAATGCTTCGATAAAGTCTATTTTCTTTAATGATCGACAGAATACATAACTATTTGGATTTGGATGAAAGGCTTTGTTAAAGACAGTATTAAAAAAAGAAACATTTCAAGTGAGAATAATATGCTGTTTATAACAAAGTTGTTTTATTTGACGTCTTACTATTTCATGATACTTTTATCAAGGTTACAGTAAACTAGAATTTACAATATCCCAACTCCTATATGACAACTTAAATTGAGGTGTTCTTGACGAAGATTCTGCTTTCTCGACTTGCTGAGTAAGATAGAAACTACATACACGACTTGTCTGGTGGATAACCCTTTGATGTTCGAGGCGATTGGTATGAGGTTCAAGTCTCCACGGGAACATCATCACTCACTAAGGTACACACGTACATCAAGCTGTTGAGATCCAAATAGGACGAAATGCGCGACCTGACTTCACTGCCAGCCACCATCGCTTTACATGACGAGATCCTGCTTAGACATACTGATGTAACCAATAATTATACGACAAGAATCATAAGTACATGTGTTCTGTACAAATCTCAATTTGAAAAAGTAGAATCTTCCATCCAGAAAAACTCAACTTGTTATACATAAGCTTGGATATAGTAAACTCCGGTTCATTATAACATTGATAAAGGTACTAGTACTAAATAGTAAGATGTCAACTAAAACGACTTTCATTATTTAGGTATTTGTATTTCCCAATGAATGTAAAACAAAATAAATTTGTTTCAACTGACGTGTCGGTATTTCGTGCTGCCAATAGCTTTAAGAAGTTATAGTAAACAGGAATTTACAATATCCAAGCCAATATATGTATGATAACTTGATATGTGTTCTTCTGTATGAATGATTTTGTGTTGTCAAATTGTTGAATAAAGATAATATCCATATGTAGTGTATTGTATGCGTAGACCTTTATTTATAACAGACTGAGATTTGAATGTACACATATGTTGATAATTGTTATCGTATTTTTCTTTTGCTTATGTCAGTATTTCGGGGTTGGTTGAGACCAGGTCAAACCACGTTTTACTCCATTCCTATTTAGACAATTATTATTATTATTCCCTTGGGTTCCTAGTGGAACACAGGACTTCAGTGGCATGCCTCCATTACACTCTCTTCTCTACAGTCTTCAAAACCTGGCACCACGACTGCTCACAAACTTTCATTTCTTCCTCACATCATCTCATCCATGTCACCCTCACCTCGGACGCCCAACTCGTTGTTTCCCCTTCGGATTCCAATCGACGGCCTGGTCTGGACTGGCGCGTGATGTCCCCAGTCGGCCTTCTCACTGTATGCCCAATCCAATCCATCTCCACTTTCCTGTTGGGTGGTAGGTTCTTGCTTCGTAGCAGAGTTCCTCATAGCTTATTCTTATTATTCTGGCCATCTGATCTGATCTTCAGTGTGGAGTGAGTGTAGGTGGCAGCTGTTGATGAATGTCTTTAGTTTGTTGGAAATGCTTTTCGTGACGCTGCAATTTTCTGAACCACCACATAGCAGCACTGACTTGACTGAATTGGTGTTGAAAATCCAGGTCCTGTTCTTTATGCTGAGTGCAGTTGATCTCCACACTGATTTCAGATTAATGAATACCTGTCTTGTTGTCTTTCCAATCCTGGTTTTGACATCCTCGTCTGTGCCGCCGCTGCCTGTAGTTGAAACGATGCAGCCTAGGTGATGGGTGGAAGAGACTACTTCCTTTAGATTTCTCCCCTTGATGGTATTTAGACAGATTCTGATATGAGACATTTTTAATAATTTCTAAAGCCTTTCTGAATAATTTCGATATTTTCAAAATTGATCTTTCACCAGAAATTCTAGAGTGGTCGGTGTGTTTTCAAGTTTTTTCAGTTCGACTACGTTTCTAGAGAGTTGGATGGAAGCACTTCGTTGTTCATTTTTTCTAATTGTGATTTCATGGAACGTTTGTCCGATATATACTGCGTCACAGTCTGAACATTTTATTTTATAGACGCAGTTAGATTGTGAATGTAAAGGGGCGTCGTCTCTCAAATGAACTAAGGTGCTCTGCAATATATCTGATGTTCTGTAGAACACTCTGATATTGTATTTGTTGGGCACTCTCATAATTTCATCCAATGTGTGCGATCCGTAAGGGATAAATATTGTTGAGACCCATGATTAAGGAGTAGTTTTATGATTTAATTTCATGTTATTTTCTAGTTTACGGATCAATTTTAACAGATAATTATTCATTTTAAGTATCTTTTTCACATATTTTAATTACTTAACACTTTCATTTTCATCCGTGTATGCTCGCCTTAAATAATTTTATTTTCTTTTACATTGATTGGAAAATGAAAATACCTAACTGATGAATATCATTTACCCAACGACCGAATCATTAAATCTCAACTTGGTTTGCATGTCTCTATACACTTTCATCTATTTTCCACTGTAATACCACAAACTTTAATGATAATAGCTAATTAGAATATACATTAACACTGGAAAGTGAATGAATTCTTGCTGAATAACACACAAAAAAAAAGAAACCCAGAAGTCGCTGGTACGTCTCCTACTATGGTTCATATTTTCATTTCACCTTCAACCATTATCAATACAAGTCTGCAAAACGACGTCTATCTCAGATAATCAAACTGACTATAAGAAAATTAATTTAGTAAATGATAAAATACTGCAGATGATTAATGAATTATAACAAAATAAACAAAGATTAACAGCCATAGACGAATACTATCATCGAAGTAACAATAAGATTGCTTTGCTCAAAGTAGATACAACAGAAATGTTATATGAAATAAATATTAGTGAGTGAAAAAGCATCAACTAATCACTTATATTGATCAGAACTAAATTTATTGCGTGAATAATCACTTTTACACTAATCAAATAATCCAAAGACAATTTTACAAGTATTAACATTTGTATCATAATATATAGATTAATAAACGTGAATCTAAATCTTACGATATGTGATTGACATTTTAAATAACAGTTTGATACGAATAAATGTGATATACAACTTTATGAAGCTAATCTATCGCCCTATGAATATGTATGAAATAAACTAGGAATAAACAGTTGGTTACAACTAATATTAGGAACATACTAGACAAAGAAGGCATATCAGTTGATGACGTTGTGAACCTTCAAAGGCTGAGATAGCTTGGATAAGCACTGAGCATCCATAGCCATTGCTTACAACGATATGCAATTTCAAGGGAAGTTGAACAAGGTTGGAAAAAAGCTCAGGGTGGTCAGATCGAAATGTGGCACTATTTCCTGAAATCTCTAACTATTGATCTGAGTCTTGTAGGAAGGTGAAGACTGCCTGCCCAAGACGATGAAAATCAGTAGTTAGAGATGCTTGGTAACATGGCAGAAAATCGGTTATAATCGCGTTGATGTATTCACTCTCTGTCGTCTTGAGTGTTTCGACTAACTTTGAGTTTTAAATTTCTTCTTCGGACATACTCCTTCATTTATTTTAATATCAGTCCTTCTCTATCCTCTTGTTCTTTGCACGCTACTGTGAAGTGTAGAGATCTCGACCGATGGACTAGTGTGCAAGGTTCAACGCTGATTTTGTCAGCCTATCTGTTACAAAACAAATGTAAATACTTACGACAAGGAAATATATTTGGAAACCCACTGGTAATTTTTTGTAAACAATCACACTCTAGAAGAGAAGAGTTTGTAAATTAATAAAGTACAATACTTAGGTACTGTGGCGGAATGTAATCCTAAATTAGATTTGTTCATTTGATTTAAAATACACAGTGATATAATATTATTTACTTGATGACGTTTCGAGAATAAATTATCAATGCTCATAATCATATCAATGTAATCCCAGCACATTGAACACCGGATTTTTATAGTCCCGTCATCTCATATTATTTGTTTTTATTGGTAGTAAAAGTTTCTATACGTGTTGTGTCATTCCTAGTCAGTGAACAAAGATTCAGTGATCAATCTCTCTCTCCGCCTAATTATATTGGACTGAATTATAGTGGTTTTATCCCACCCTATTGTGTGTTAATGCAAGCATTCGAATAGCCGAGTCTCTTCCTAGATTATTGATCTGATTCGCGTGTTTTTCTATATTTAGCTAAATTTCTAAGTCCCGCTATTCTAACTAACACCGACCGGATGGTTTGACCTATGCACTTGATCTCGTATTCATTATACATGGAATTTAGTGTGTGACATTAATTTGCTCAATTGGTTCCATCGGATCTCAAAGCCAACAAAGCTTATCTCTGAGTAGTTTGTAGGTTTAAATGCCACCCTAATTTCAGCTTTTTTGAGGATCCTACATAAAGTTTCTGATGTACCTTCCTTATAGGGTAACACAATGGAGGCTGTGAACTCTTTTCTACTCATTTTATCGTTTAAAGAATTGACCTGTGGACACATATTTTCACCCAGGACAGTTCATAAGAATCTGGTTTCCAACTGAATGTTACAGACAGTATTCCAAATCCTGATAGTTTACTTCATAATGAAGTGCTGATGATATCATTGAGAAAGAAAACGAAAGCTTTATGATTAAACGCTTCATCTCTACCATTTTCATTTTCAAGCACATACATAATGATCATCAGCTATCGAGAAGATACAACGTTTAGAGTCACCATTCTTTCACAACACACCCAGCTAGTAGACATTTAAAAGAAATATCCGCTTTTTGATTCGAATGCTCGCATAGTATATGCAGTGTATACCAAAACAAGCAACAAAACAAAAGGATGTAATCCTAGCAGCATTCAAATAACCGTATTTAAAAAAGTTCATTCGTTTATATCTCAAATTTTCGTGCTGTTAGCATACTTAACATTTTCAAACAATTTTCTACTACCATTACAACCAAGCCATTTTATACTACATAAGATTTGATTATGATAAATGAAGAGGTAAATTAAAGCATAAGGTGGCAAAGAAATTCATCGCTTTAAGTTAATGCACGTCACAGTAGCATGCTAAGAGTAAGCGGATAGAAAAAGATAACACTAGAGTAAACAAAAGTGCATGGAACCATTAGGAATAGATAGATGCAGGTTTGTGAAAATGCTAAGATCTTCGGAGACACCAAAGGGTGTTTAACATCTGCATCAGTGTAGCTGGTTTCAAGCTATATTAGTCTCCAACCAATAATTCTGAGTGGCTCAACGACCGCACTTAGCCAGACTACACCTTTCCATATGGCCTATAATAACAGTTCAAGGCTGCATGAATTGAACGTCCTCGTTTGGCTTTCTTCCAATCCAGTTCCGTTTATATTAACATAACACGTCAGGATAGACAGGGAATTAATCCGCATATGTAGGACATGTACAAACAACTTCAATTGTTGAAGGCAGCTACTGGTTGTCGTTCCTTTAGACGACAGCCCTCTATACACTCTCATGCAACTATGTGAATCTAAGTATATAACTTTGACTGGCATTGCATACTGGCTCGGTACTCGTCTGGTCATCAAACACTGCAACAGTACCTCTCAATTGATAGAGTAGATTCCAGCTTACAGGTCACGAAATATCACCAGTGTCGTGCACCGGTAAGTATGCTTGTGTCGAGTAGAGATGCAACCGATGAACCTTCATTCAAGTTTGGAACCTGTTCGCTTTTCCACGAGTCTTAGTGAGGGGTTGCATAATTATGGACACTAGGATTTTAGGCACCGTGTTAGTCACAACGATTCTCTTGTGGTTGCAACCGAGATACTTCTTTCCTCTCCTGTAAACTGAGCTCATCACCAATATAGACCAATCCATTGGGATTATCTTTAGTTAACATACACTAATAAGTACCTTATTTATCCTGTTCTGTAGTTTTCCCCGATAACCCTTAAAACTTCTGAGAAAAACCGTAAAGTCTTGCTGTTTACCACCGTTTCGGGTTTAAAACACCTCTCTAAACTTCCGTAAAAGTTGGAGAACAAGTATCCACAATCTATTCAAGAATGGACCGATGTTGAACAATTGGAGGGTGACTTCTAGACAGATAGACAAAACCAACATAGAACCTCGCACACTACTCCATCGGTTTCGGTTGCCACACTTCACAGTACCATAGAAAGAACAAGAGGGTAGAAAAGGACTGACATCAAAATAAATAAAGGAGTATGGTCAGAAGAGGGAATTTAAAAATTTATGTTAGTCAAAACATTTAAGTTTTAGAAGACGACAGAGAGTGAATACATCAGCGCGATTATGACCGATTTTTAGCCACATCACCAAGGGTCTCCAACCACTGATTCCTAGCGTACCGAAGACTCCGACCATGGAGTCTATATCTCCCCATATCACTCAGATCAAGAGTCAAAAAAAAACTTTATGGATAAGTGTCACATCTCAGTCCGGCAAACCTGAGCTCTCTTCGAACCTAATCACACTTCGACTAATATAGTACATCGAGATAGACAATGACTCATCATGTGCAACAAGTGTCCAAGCCACTTCAGCATCTGAATGTTCACAACCTCATCAACCGGTTTTCCCTCTTTGTCTAATACCCTTCACCTGATGTCCGCATTGTTCACACAGTGATTTCAGCATACTTGAACAATGCTGCAAAGATACTTCTGTTCAAAAAGCAGTTATCTCTTCATATTTTCTACTTTCAACGTCCATATCTCATAGTCATATAACAGGACAGAGCGAACTACAGTGTAGTATACTCTTCCTTTATGAGGTAAACAGATAACTTCATCGATGAAAAAATATGATACAATTAAGGAAATGTCTAACAAATCACTTGTAGTTAAAGTGCTGCAAAAGCATATACGCCAGGAACTAATACAAAACGGGTCGAAACCATAGAGATATGCTTTATCACTAATATGCATAGACAAAAAAAAATAATCTCATTTCATTGTTCTACTCATTTTACTTATATAAACATACATTAATCAGTGTAGAATGTAAACTCACTTAACTCTTCATCTTTAATTGATTGCATATTAGCTGGTAACCGACTAACAATAGTACTTTTCAAATACTCACGAATACTATTTGTATACCTAGAAAAAAAAGGAACAGTTGATTGATTTCTAAAAACAAAGTGTAAACAGAAATTTACGATTTTGCAAAGAGAAATTCTTCAACAGTTAAATGTGGTGCTTCATTTGAGCTACGTGAACGTTCCTCAGCTAAGATGTGCTCAGCAAATCGTTCAATCTATAAATGATTAAAAGAAAAATAATAATAAAGGAAAACAATTTTCTTTATGATTCAAAAATATTAATACAAACAAGTAACAAATAAATAATATGTGAAACAATGTAGCCAATTTTCCATTGTATTCACCCATTATTTATACAGCCAGATATCAAATCCCTACACATATAAGATGAAAGTTAGCTTAGACGTCATTAAAAGGAGATCAACGCTGTATTAGCTGGATGTTAGGGTTAACAGAATTCCATTAATAAAGTTGATAGTGTATTTAGTTATTCCATTGCATAATCAAGTATTACACAGCATCATGCTCTAAGTAATTTGATCATGGAGATTTGAAAATATGTCTTGAATTTAGATTTCAACCACACTAATTGAAAACTAGAAACTGTGGATTCAAAGGTAATGATCACAAATCATTGAATATATATATATATATATATATATATATATATATACTGGATTAAAAACTGCATACGAATCAACGTTTTTATTCTACTTAATGATGGCTAGCACAGGAGTCCAGCAGGATGTGCATTTCATCCTATTCAGGATTCGTCAGCTAGATATACACCCGTATCTAAATGACAAATGATATCTCCAGTGAGATTCGCTATCAGTTGATATTTTCTGATACTTTCAATTGTTCTATGATTACTAAAATAAACCGAATTTACTGGTCTATGTGAGCTACATGAGCTCATAAAAGAAATGTCATGATATTGTCATTATTTCAATCATGATTATCAGTCACTCGGATGTAGGTACATCGAATTGACGTATCTCAAGTAGAACAAAACGTGCATTCTGGATTGCACAACTAGTCAACCTTAAATAAATCACATCATCAAGAAACTTACGGCAATATCGAGGCATACGTTAAACGATCCCGTAAGCCAATAAACAATAGTTTAACAGAGAATATCTGGTATCAAAAAATAATTACTATCTATATTCCACCCCAAGTAAAGTATTACGCCGCATCATCCTGGAGAGATTAAAAGATGCACTGGATTCAAAATTACAACCGAAACAGGCTGGCTGCCTTTCAAGAAAAAAAAATCATGTGCGGATCAAATTGCAACGCAACACTACGCACCATCGTAGAACAGAGCATAGAATGGCAGCCAACTGGATCTCTACCTCAACCTCACTGACTTTGAAAAAGCCTTTGATAGCGCCGACCGACAAGTAATTTGGAAACTGCTCCAACACTACGCAGTGCTATAAATCTTTATCGACCTCATTCAACAGCTATATGAAGACGCCACATGCCAAGTAATTCACAATGGAAAGCTCAGAGACGCCTTTAAAGTGAAGTGAAGACAGAAGTAAGACAAGGCTGCCTGCTATTTATCACCCATGATCTTCCTGATTGTGGTCGACTGGATCATGCAACAAACCGTGAGGAGCGAGCACAAAGTCGAAGATCTACAGGCGAAAACTAACAAGTTGACGGAAGAAGCAGAGCAGAGAAGACGGGACTTCAAGTGAACGTAGAGAAGACAGAGGTGATGAGGATACCTAACAATCATCAACAACAACAAGAACCAATCACCATTAACGGGAGGAATCTAAAGGAAGTAGTCTCTTCCACCCACCACCTAGGCTGCATCGCTTCAACTACAGGCAGCCGCGGCACAGACGAGGATGTCAAAACCAGGATCGGAAAGACAGCAAGACAGGTATTCATTAATCTGAAATCAGTGTGGAGATCAACTGCACTCAGCATAAAGAACAAGACCTGGATTTTCAACACCAATTCAGTCAAGTCAATGCTGCTATGTGATGGTTCAGAAAATTGCAACGTCACGAAAAGCATTTCCAACAAACTAAAGACATTCATCAACAGCTGCCACCTACACTCACTCCACACTGAAGATCAGATCAGATGGCCAGATTAATAAGAATAAGCTATGAGGAACTCTGGCAACGAACCAACGAAGCAAGAACCTACCACCCAACAGGAAAGTGGAGATGGATTGGATTGGGCATACAGTGAGAAGGCCGATTGGGGACATCACGCGCCAGTCCAGACCAGGCCGTCGATTGGAATCCGAAGGGGAAACAACGAGTTGGGCGTCCGAGGTGAGGGTGACATGGATGAGATGATGTGAGGAAGAAATGAAAGTTTGTGAGCAGTCGTGGTGCCAGGTTTTGAAGACTGTAGAGAAGAGAGTGTAATGGAGGCATGCCACTGAAGTCCTGTGTTCCACTAGGAACCCTGGGGAAAAATAATAATAATATTCTTTAGAAAAAAAATTTTCCTTCCTACTTCATTTGCGCATAACTATCTGAATAAACTGTTTTCCATGAGCTTTTAAAGGAATTCTGATACCACCTCAGAGTCAAGGCACTTTAAATTTGAAAATATGAACGTAGTTCGACAAATGTTAAATGATAAACGACCTATTTGGTTAAAGTGAAAATCAAGTTTCTTCAGAAACAAGTATATCTAATAAACACTGAATTGACTAACAGAGTAGCATGAACTACGAAAACGCTACTGACACAATGAGAAACTTGAACAGAATACGAATAGCCACTCTCCTCCCTCAGACTTAATACTTCACTCAACCACGAAAACCGAAAAACAAAGACCGACCTATGACTGCAAGGAAGACACTATTTAACACGTCATTTATATACAGTCTTTCTCAGAATATAAAGCCACTAGGTTAGAAGTTGGATACTTATTTGGATTGGTCAGGTGTAGAACAAAACTGTCCAATTAGGTTTTTCCTGCCCACACAGTAAAATGAAAAAAGGCTGAAATTCAAAATTTGAACCTTAGCGGCTGATGGCGCTTATTTATATTTAGGCCATTTTCTATCATACACTGTTCAGTTATTGATCACACAAAAGTAAACTAATAATAATATTTATAAATGGTAATCATTGAGTATCTGTCATAAATGAGCTTGATATAAGTTGTAATGAGAAGATCTGGATGTGTAACTAGTGTTGTGAACAGTAGACAGTTGTAATTCATATGACAGCTGGGAAAAACGCAGTGGATAGAATGAAATTGAGACCTAAATAGCAATAGGGTTTCAAATGTCAGTTAGAAAAGCATCAGGTCTTTCCAGACTTAGTCATTGTCTTAGTGATATTGCGTTCTCTGAGCTGGTTATGTTATATCTATGGGTTAAAGGGTTGGCCGACTGTTCTGGTTTTAACTTTGATTTGGGTTTTCTAATAAGTTCTGAGATTAAGCGACTGAGAAAAATGCTCAACGTTGGTCCCAACTATCATAATTCCCTTCAGACTTCATACATACGAGTTCATCCTACAGCCAGTAACTTCATAGCAGCTAACTCGGAGAGAAGACGAAGTTACATGGCCAAGCAACATAATACACAATTATTTCTAAAAATATATTGGAAGTGTACGAAGTATTAAAGCGTAGGCGACCTAATCAAAATGTCAAAGAATGAGAAAAAAGACAGACACATTAGAACATTCTATAACTGATTGGTTGTGGTTTTCATTCTCTCTAGCTACGCATACAACAGGTTGGCTTAATCGTGAATTTTTTATTGTCTTTCTAGACAAAATCATCTGCAATAACTTCAATGTCAAGTTGGTTGACTAATCAATGAACAAAATAACACATAACCACAATGTCAGGGAGACAAATGACGCATAGGAATTCATGGCAGAATAAATGAAAGTAATTGAAAATCGAACGAAACGCAATCAACCACCTTCTACACATCCGTGCAGTAGGTGGTTGCCCAAACCTCAGCAGGTAGAGCGAGATTCGAACCCGCGACCCATTTGGTTGAAAGTCATCTCTCTATACCATCGAGCCACAGTCCCACTAACTGCCGACCACACATCACTCCATTATAACAGCCTATAAAATACCTTACAAAGAAATCCTGGGAGGCGACTTCATGCTGAAGTTAGTGCTAATGATGATACTGTTTACAACGGCAATGAAAGCTTTACAATTAAATGGTTCAGGTCAAAGAATATGTAACCACAAATATCATCCACCTAAGATGCAAATATTGCTCATCATTTCAGTTTATATTCATGTGAATCTGATCACTAATGCTGTTTCAAGCCAGATACATTTATAAAAAGTAGACCTGACATAAGTTATACTGAAATAATAATATTCACAAGTTGTAAATAGCTTTGAAGAAAAAAGAATTCAATTGTTTGCCAGTTTACCTTTTTAATTCTGATTCGCATATAATCAGCCATGATGAATCGGATTCGTTCAACCTGTTGGAAAACAGAAGTGAAAACAGGTTAACACGTATCTTGATAAGACGGACAACGATGATAAACTACAACGTCTACGCATTTTTAGTAATCCTGATTTCAATTTAGGGGTTTGTGGGGATTTATTAATTTCAGGTCGGTATCCATCACTGACTGACATCAGTTGGAGGGACGTTGGAAACCTGGGAGCACTGGATAGCTGTTTCATCCTAGTATAGGACTCCTTAACAGTGCGCACCCATGACCCCGCACTGCAAGGGGTCGAAACCAGGACCTTCAGATTCAATGGTCAGCACGTTACCACTGAGCCAAGGGGTCCGAATTTATTGGTGCATACCTCTATCAGTTCACGATATAGCCACTTGGTTGATCCTACCGCTCATGGCTTCTCACTAGAATTTCGGGAATCAACTCTCGAAGCAAGTCACAAATAAGCACTAGATTAATTCAAAGTTGATCGATTTTCTAGTAGAAGCACAGGAAAACTAACGAAGAGAAAGTTTCATAGATGTAAAGTTATGAAATACTGACAAAGTAGTTGATGTATGTAGAAATTCAGACTCTTGGTTAATCTCCTAGACAACCAACGCTACTGAGCGAAGGTGATCTAGCTGCAATGCTTGAAAGTGATATAAAAGGGGTATTTTCAGTCTTCTTATAATAATTGGATGTGAAATTGATTTACCCTTACCTGAGTGAAGTATCTCTAAGATTATTTTCATCCTCCCCTACATTTTCCACCTCACTTGATTTGTTTGATTTCCGTTGATTGTAGTGAGACGCTTGATAACGTTTGAGTGTAAACATCATTACAACACATTCTATATGGACCCAAATAATTGTCAAATCTTTATTATTCTAGTTACTCCACCATTAAAAGTCACTTCAAGCAAGTGAAGTTTAAGTCTAAAAAGAATAGCTATGGGATTCTGGTAAAAATAGAACTAGCTTACAATACTTTCGAGAAATCCTATGGTCAGTAGCTGTTAACAACTATTTGACTTTGGATAACAGAAGATTTGTGAACAAGATAAGTACTATATCACATGAAGTATAAATTGACTGAATATCTAAGTGGTAGTACCAGTGGTTACTGAAATATTTATAAGATAATAGGGTTCGAGTAAATGTTAAGGAATAATCACAAAGAACATCATCATTCTCATTATGATTACTGTTGGGATGCGAACCGAGTTACTTCTCAAAATTGTCCTGATTCTTAATCGAGTTGAATAATCGTCATTATAGTACTTTTGCGTTATATAGGTTGAATGACAGTCACTGTATAATGGATGCTACTGATAAGAATGAATATATGTAGTATGTGGTAAGAGGTCAGCAGAACTCATAGGCAATTACGAGCAATAGATAAATATTCTGCACAGAGAAAGGCGAGAGACAACGTGAGAGTATGAAGAGCAAAACAAGATAGACGAAGAAAAGGAACCAAAACACATTGTGCAAATGAATATTTCAATCGAAAGTATACAAGTATTTCATCACTACTGTACAAGATGTCAGGATAAACATTCTTCTGCATTTCATCCTTTGCCGTTTTCTTACAACTGGATACACTCAACTGACATATTTTTGTTCAAAGAAGAACAAATGATTTATGGAAAAGATCTACATTAGCATGACATCTTCGTCCACAACTAGTTTTGTCATCTCTTACTTAACTGTCTTCTGTTCTATCGTTCTATATGTGTCAAACATATCAGTTCATTGTGCCATTGTCTTATAGGAAAAATTATTGCTCGTCTAGATAAGTATTAATTCGTGCTAAGCGATTCGCAGTTGTTGATAGCTTCATGCTTTCACTCATAGCGTCGGATACATAGCTTCACAGTTAACTCCACGTGAAAAGTAATCCTAATGCCCACTTATCCTACTACTGGTAACTTGACTGATAGAATCAAAGTAGAACCTGCCATAGGAATGCATCGACTCAAGCTGCTACACTTCCTAACAAGTGGACACAAAAAGGCTTATATCAAAGTTGACAAAGTTGTGTGAGAAAATTAACAATCTGAAGATAAAGGTTAGTGTGAATATTCAAGCTTTAGAAGACATCAAGGAGTGAATACATCTGTGCCATTCTGACCAATTTTCAACGGTCACCAAGAGTCCTCAACCACTGATTCCTTTCGTCTCGAGGACCTTATCAATCAGGCAGTCTACATCTTCCCACACGTCTTAAGGCAACAGTTAAGGACTTCATCGACTATTGCCAGGTCTTGGTTAAATTCTGACAACAATATAACAATCTCAATTGGCTTTTGAAAACTTACACTACATGTTATATTTGATAGATAACTATGAACAGAATAAACGTTAAAGTAATACACTTTTATTACCAGTTGGTGGTAAAGTAAAGTAATTGAAAGAGATTAGCCGAAAAGGCTTCACTTTTTAATTTGACAGTGCTTCCAACAGATCTAAGATATGTCGTTAGCACAACATGCTAAGAAAAACTACTCTTCTCAATAATACATTGTAGGTAAACACGACAAACCAGCTAATAAAATATTCAGTCCTAAAGACTTTCCCATGTCGTATGTTTTATCAACAATAAGACGATATTTAAAATATCACCCCGAAAGGAAAATTAGATACCAGTTTGATCTTACAATTTAGCTTACTTACCTGGATTCGTTTAATCTGTGCTTTTAAATCACCAGCTGGTAAAGATTTTGCTTCAGCCTCTAATTGATTAACCTCAGCCTGAATAAGACCTAATAAATCAGAATGAGCAGTCAAAAGTACAGGAGCAATCTTCTCATTTTGCCATATCTATTACAGTATACAAAAGTAGAAAAAAATTGTCATCAATTTCCAATAGTCTAGTATAAAATCAAACTAACCATTATTTCTAAAACATAAAACATTTATGCAGGAGAAAGGATAGTAAATTATAACTTAGAAGTAGTATTCATCATGGACTGATATCAGTTAGGGAACCATTGAAAATCTGGGAGCACTGGACAGCTGTTTCGTCCTAGTATGAGACTTCTCAGCAGTACGCAACCACGACTGGGCTAGGGATAGGACTCAGGACTTTCAGGTTTTACGGCAACCGTGTTAATCATTCAGCCACTGGGTCGGTTTTCAGTGGTTCACAATTTCCAATCCATGAGTAATGCTAACCTGAATAGCATATAAGATAAATAGTATGCGATATTTTGAGAAAGCATTTATCACAGACTGACATCAGTTGGGAAACCAATGAACTCCGACCCAGTGGCTGAATGGTTAACGCGTTCGCCATGAAACCTGAAGGTCCCGAGGTCGATCCCTAGCCAGGTAGTGGGTTCGTACTGCTCAGGAGTCTCATATTAGGACAAAATAGCTGTCCAGTGCTCCCAGATTTTCAATAGTTTCCCAACTGATATCAGTCCATGATGAATACTACTCCTAAATTAAAATCCTCATTCATCTCAAAAATACAATAAATTATAAGTTGTTGAGTGTAGTGTAGAACTTTAGTCTTATTGTGCACCGAAGGCGATGTCTAAAAATGTCGACTGAACTCTACTTTGGAAACATCATTAAATGGCGGCGATAGTCCGATGAGAATTCCTTTCTTAACACACTCTTAGACATTGTGAAGTGTAAAACTAGTAATACGTAAGTCCTAATGATCTCTTATGAAATAAACAAAGAGTGAAACAATTGTACAAAAAATTAACAAGTAATTAAAAGTTTAGTTCATATAGCTGTCTGTTTAATTTTTTTAGTTTGAAATCTACACAGTCTGTTGGTAATAATTTATTCTTTCTTTAAGAACTAACAAAGTTAAAATATTGAAAATATAACTCATCAACATCAACTCTAGGGTTAAACGATACGTTAAACCATGAACAGATAATTCGAAAATGAAATACACTTAGCAACTACATGCATGTTCGTGCAATAGATAACCAGGCACATTGATTTTATAAAGGATAATGACACTTGAAGGATGTAGCAGAGTCCGAACCCGTGACCCATAGGTAGAAAGCCGAGTGCGTTAACTAATGACTGTTTAATAGACTGTAATGCCTCAAGAATATCTGACATATCTTATCGTTTGCCTTTAGTAATAAACACCAACAACTGTTTCTAGACCACATTACTCCATTGAACAAAGAAAAATTCCTCATCATATTCACTAGGAGGAACTTAAATCTCGTAAATTAGTGTAATAATATTTGTACCATAGATATTTAAAGAATCCCTAAAAAAATTCGGTTATCAAAACACAAATCAGTATTCAACCCCTAGTCAAAACGCTTAGTTAGCTTATATATATATATATATATATATATATATATATATATATATATATATATATATATATATATATATACATTCGTTCTGTAAGTGATGAGCCACACCTATTGTATGAGATCTAATGATACTCTTTGGATGGTCAAACCTCGAAAGGTGGAGTGCGGTTCAAACCCGAACCCACTGGTTGGAAGTCAACTCCACTAGTATATGTGAGTCGCCTCGGTCGAATTTTACGTGAAGGCGAATAATATATGATCTGATTACCGACATCAAATCAAATGTCTAAATCAGTAAACCGAAGGATGAAATAACAGAATGTTTATTACAATGATACTTGTAATGTTCCGTTGCTATTAAAGGTCGAATCGCTCGACCACTGTTGGCAGATGGACTACAAAAACTGACACCCATTGCACAACAGGTAGCTATCTTGCCCCAATGACTTAGTGTATAACGCTCTGGAGTTTGAAACGAAGGGTATTGGGTTAGAACCTTAGAGGGAACAACATCACTCACTAGAGTGCACGTACGTCCAGCTGACGAGTCGCAAATAGCACGAACCGCGCGTACTGGATTCCTCTGCTAGTCACCAAGGTCAATGTTTGTCTTAAACAAAGGTAATTAGACCCACCGAGTAAACAGAATAGTAATATTGAAATACTTAAATTAATGACTATCAAGTTTCAGCGGAGAATGAATTATAGTCATACTAAGTAGTTGTTTCACAAGTACTACATTGCTATTGTTGTTGTTTAGGGGGAAAATTTTGATATGACTCAGTTGTAACAGTATGGGCAAAATAAATCAAACAAAGTTTCTCATAACACAATAATTCGATCAACTGACTAACGCAATGACGATAAACAGAAAGACAACGAACTAGAAACTTGTAGTTAATTGTAATGGTAGTAAATAATGACACCATAGAAAACCAACGAAAGTGGTTATACATCACAATAAGCATGCACAACATGAATAGAGGGTAGAAATGAAAATTACTGGGACGAAATTATGAATGTAACGGATACGTTTGTGCCATTATGATCGGCTTTGAGTTATCTCATCCAATATCTTAAACATTGATGATCAATATTCAAGCACTAGGACCTAGGAAGTGCACATTTCGTCCTACACAACTCAGATCAATATTTAGTGAGTTGACGGGTAGACGTTGTTTTCGATTTTGGTCACATTAAACTTCTTTTTAATTTAGTCCTGCTTCAGCTGACATTTCCTTTTGACGTAAACGCATCAATAAAGCATAACAACTCCCTTATTCCAGATTAAAAATTACAAAGGTAACGGAATTACGATGAGAACTAAGAGTCATGAGTATGAATCGATATGGGGTTGAATATTTGCATTACTAAATAGTCAAAAACAGGATGAAACGGTTCTCTAGTCCCCCATAGTTATTCAGATGATTTTCAATATGACCAATAGCTTGAATACCACTTAATCAAACATTTAATTAATCTGATCAGTCTGCTTAGTTGTAAAGTTGTGCAAAGCACAGAGAAAACGAAAGATACCTCAAAGTCTCACAGAAAGCGGAACCGATTCAAGCACAAAACAGTAGCATGTTCTTTATGAAGTAAATGCCTATTAAATTAGCCACCCTATCAACGAAACACCCAAGAAGCAACTATTAACCTCAACTCATTGACTTCTAACTCATGATGTTGAATACTGAATATTTTTGTCCGAGAACAATCTGATTATATGAAAGATGGATAGTATCTAGCAGTAGAATCTAGGACGCGCGTTTCGTCCTATTTGGAACTCGTCGGCTGGATGTACCTGCCTCCTAATGAGTGATGCTGTTCTCACTGGGACTTGAACTTAGGACCGATCGTTTCAAATGCTAGAGCGTTATTCATTAGATCATCGAGTCACGTTAGCGACTTCTTATGCAACGGGTATAGTTTTAATGTTGTTACTTGTATTATTCCGCCACTGACTGAACCGAATTTGATCGGTGTCTTTTGATATACGGGCTCCTGCGTAGATTCCTTGATAGTGCCTTACTCAGTTATATAATATATGCCAATAGAGACCGATCAATTCCGTCCACTCAACGACAGGATAATATGAGCAACAACATTAGGATTTTCCCCATTGCATAAAAAGTGGCTGTCGTAACTCGTAGCGTAGGGGATAAAGCTCTAACGTTTGAAACGATCTGTCCCAGGTTCAAGTCTTGGTGGGAATAACATTGCTCACTAGGAGGTGAGCACATCTATCTGATGAGTCTGGAATCGGTCAAAACGCGCGTCCTGGATTCTACTGCTGGCCACTACCTATCATTACTACTTAACTGTAACACAGGCAATATCGAGGCGTCCGTCCATATGCCATTAGAGACCCATCAACTCGGTCCAATCAACGACAGGATGATTCAAGTGACAACACTACAACCTGGTTACCTGAATAATAAGCAGATGAAATATCAAAATAAATATAAAGTGCCTTTTAATATGGAATAGCCGAAGTAAATGAGCACTTTTGTTATGAAAAGATAATGTGAGTGTACATGAAAAAGAATTGGGTTGCAGGTACACTATGACTAGCAGCTTTAGAATCATCGATTGATTTATCTTTGGTCAAGCAATTGTTAGTAATAAAAATTGAGGTGTGAAGAGCTTTAGAAAATCTATGTCAGAACTGAATCTTGTCTATTGGTTTACAAATAGTGGCGTCCCTTGTTTCGCATTCACCTAAGCATATAGCGAAAAAATTGCGTCTTGGGATTTGAAACAAATATCTCATCTGAGTTGCTTACGACTTTCTAAGTGTGATTAAATGCTAAACGGTCTTGTGTACTACTAGAAGCGTGTGGGCGGTTGACTCTTCCCAGTTGCCTACACAGTGGAAGGCTTTTTCTTTTTAAGGCACCTAACCTGACCGCAGAGCCCAGTGGACATTTACTTGAGGTCGGTCATGTACCGGATTTTCGATGCCACGACAATTGGTCCGTAGTTTGGAAGCTGTAGTCGGACATACATCATGTGATTTTGGATCACCACTAACCATTCATGACTCATCTAACCCACCATTATGAATCATCTTTTTGATTAAGAACATGCTGAGGTTAAGGGTAACTGCTTTTGTCTAACCACTGTCCAATAAACATCTTTCTGGTACGGTAGGAAGTCGAGGGAATAAGCGTCCGACCAGCATAGCACCAGATTGTTTATTCTCTCACACTACTTTGACACATCTTTTTCAATCCACCTGTTCTTTGTGTACTTCTGTGAAACGTGGCAACTTGAGCCGATCCACTGCTGTGTGAGGTTCTATGCTGATTTTGTCAGTTAGTGAGATGCTAAATGAAATCTAATCAATATTTATTGGATTCTATCTATGATCAACTAGAAAGGAATAATATACTGTCAACTTCAATGGGGATTACTGTAATACACTTCCTAAAACCAATGAAAAGGTTATCCAAACTAATTTTACTACTATTTTCTCTTGTACAGAATACAGAATAATTAATCCGTTGAACAGATACTAATATTGAAGACTGATGATGACTCGTAATGATGTTAGGACGTGTGATACATTTTATTCAAGGTTGAATAGCATCCTAATACACCCATCCTGGTCGATATGTCAGTCACTACTGAATATTATCAAATCGATCATCTGCTCAAGAAATAATTAAATTTAGAAGTAGTATTCATCATGGACTGACATCAGTTGGGGAACCATTGGAAATCTGGGAGCACTGGACAGCTGCTTCGTCCTAGTATGGGACTCAGCAGTACGCACCCACGACCCGGCTAGGGGTCGAACTCAGGACCTTCAGGTTCCACGGCGAACGCGTTAACCATTCAGCTACTGGGTCGGTTTCCAGTGGTTCACAATTTCCAACTTCTGTCAATTCACGACATAGCGCGACTGTCACCCAAGTCTTCAGTTAGCATCCACTTCACTTCCGACTGGATTTAAATTAAATAATAAACAAATAATGATAATTAATAAATAAATAATTAAATGATACCTCCCTATATAGTAACTTCGAGTGAATAGACCGGAATAGAATTGAAATTCAAACACCAGAGCATTACACACGAGGCATCCACGCAAGAGTTTATATGGCAATAGAAACTGATCAGTTCGGTCCACTCAACGATGGATAATACAAGCAATAATAATAATAGTGTTAAAATATTCAACACTTTCACATATTATAGGATAAGTCATGATCTTAACCAGTGAAAGCATGAAACAAACCTTATATAAACGTTGCAGTAATTCACCAGATGTAAGCAACTCTTCGTTTGATTGATTTTCTTCATCAGAATCTCCAATAATTTCATCAAGATCCGGTGCTAAAGGACCACTTGTACCGTTATTATTATTATTATATCGGGCCTAAAATAATACGAAATCGATTTAAACAAAAGCAAAAGTAATCGAATATTCAACGAGTATCACAATACACCTTCTATTCACCTCAGGAAGTTGTTATCCACTAGTTATTGTATGGATGAAGTGAATTGTGTCATACTTGCGATACACTGAGTATATGAATTCCCATCGAAGTTGATGTAGAGATTTCCAATGAGAAAAGTAAACTGGAAGTCCACTGTATTTAACCTCCAGGGAGTAATTCATTACCTAGTTGAGACATTACACACACAAGTAATATGTTGATCACATCTACCGACGACAATAATAAAAATAACGATGACAAGAAATGATAAGGCTTGGTAATAGTATTTTGTATTAAAATTGTATTTTGTACAAATATACAACACAATAACATAAGTATGGAGGAGGGTGGGGAAAGACTTTAAAAATTCCCCCCAACAAATAAGATATTCCTTGTAACAATCAAGATTTTTTCGGTGCAAGTTTTCTAAAGCGTTGTTGAATTGGCTCCGGTGGTCGACCAGTTAACTGATAACTTTGACTACATTCATCAAATGTGAATTGAAATGTTGATCGGCCATTAACTGGTTTAAACCAATGAACAGATTTTAAATGATGCGAAATTGTACACGATTTACGAGCTCGAAATGATGTACAAAGATGACATGAATACCATAGACCATCAGGATTACTGCTTCGATGATAACGTCTATAATGAGCACGATAAGCTGACAATTTCAATGATTGATAAGTACAATTTTCAACTTGACAACAATATATACAATTTTTATCGAACAAATCATCAGTTGTAGCAGTTTTAAAATAAGGTTGAAAAACACGCTTTCGAGATATTGAAACACTCTCATTTAGCCTACTTGATTTTATCCTTTGAATAGAAATATTTTTATTTGAAGATTTTGAACAATCACGTCTATGAGTACTCCAACCTTCTTTTGTAATAAACGTCTTGATACATGCAGGACATTGAAATAGAATTGTACCTTCAAGATGTTTTGGAAAGCATGAAAGTTCACTGATTACCTTTATTTCAATGGAACAGTATATATCCTTGTCATCTAGAAAACAATATAATGATAATATAATTATATATATATATATATATATATATATATATATATGTGTACGTATATAATATATAATATAATATAATAATAATAATATATTTAGCAATTTGAGTCACTATTGTGAAACATTCATGATAATCCTAGTGATAGTTTGGTATTTTTTAGTATTACGTAGAACTAACTAACCTGCCGTCTGGATACCTTCATTATCTTCAACATTTAGTGTACCAGAAATGTGGTAACCATTAGAAATTATCATACCTTTCAGTAATATCTGCCTCCATGATTTTGAAAATTTTCATTTATTTACCAAAACTAAGAACTAGGAACGGAATATCTAGTCATGTAGGGACGAAATACTAAAGCCATATTATGAGGAAAAAAAACCTCTAGTAGAGCTTAGTAACCAAATTATATCCATAATTAGCATTTTGGTTGGTAATCAAGTTTGAAATCAGGAAAAATAAACATCTCATCGGAATTAGCAGGGTCACATCTATCGACTACATGCTAGAAATGGTTGAGAATTTTGTGCATGAAGCGTCAGTAATGCCCTCCTTATTAATTTACATACCTCATATGTCATCAGCATCTCTGAAAGAATAGATGACATGAACCTACTGACTACTGTTCTGGATTAGTGATGCAGTGAGATATTTTCATCACAACACTGTAAAGAATATAGTTACTTGAACTGGGGTGCTATGTCACTTCATCTATGATTATATCTATACTCCCTTCAACTGACAGTTTCATCGCGTTCTGATACCAAACCATAGACCAATAATCAAGTTTCTTTCTGTATTCTTTTCATGAAATAACTGCTATATACCCCTAATTTTGTATAGCTTTTGCCTATTTTTATGCAAATGACCTGAAAATAACCAACATCGCTGTTTTCACACCGTTACTAGTTTTTCTTTCCCCTCCTCTCAAGGCTGAACTGTCATTGGTTGTTAACTATATTTACCTATATGTGGATTTTCGTCAAGGTCATTTAGAAATGTAGTATATATTCAGCATCGCTGTCAATTGTTTTGACTGTTGTTGAGACAGTAAACAGCTCTCTGTCGACGGTCTGTCTTCTCTCCTTGTCTTCGCACGTCGGTGGTATTGCGGTGATGGTTGACGTTCTGATTTGCGTCAGAGTCGATTCGTTCGCGCGTTAGGTTCGTATCGTTCGTAGGCTGTTAGGTCATACTGCCGACTATAGCATCAGTTTAGAGCACAAGGTCAATAGTACGAAAAAAGAAGACACAAAAATGAAAACAGCAAAACTCGCGGAAAGGTTATGAGACAAAAATAAACGAACGTACAACATACAGTGAAGATAAGGCTAAAGTATGAATGGAACTGCGTTGCTGCTTTCGATTCTAAGATATATCAGGTATAGAGTTTTAAACCACCGGTTACATGAAAGCCAAAATCCACTTCATGACTAAGGGTATCGTAAAAGTTATCGTATTTCAGAATAAAAGAGAGAGGTCAGAATTTCTCCACTGGAAGGTCAGTCCACTTCGACGTTTTAAGATATGATAAGATTTTTGTGCTAATATATATCTATGCTTTTCGTAAGTGTATTTCGGAGATACTGACTTAAATGCTATAGAGTTGTATCATCTACCTTGGGTTGGATTTAGTTCCAAATGTCATTAAGTTAAAGATCAGCCTAAATACTAAGCTTTTAAAAATTTCCAAGCACTTCCAAAAAATTTTCCTCTGAAAATTCCCCTCATGGGATCTACGTTCGCTAAGTTTCAAAGGTATAATAAGTGAGAGAAGATACGATATGAAGCTTAATTACTGTCTAAGGTTTATGCATAAATGTGGAGTAAATATGATAAAAGTATTTAGCAAAATAAATAAAGAAATACCGGATTCATTAAACCTGATCACATTGTTCGCATCTTTAACTAAACTCCATATAAAGTGCTCTTTGAAACTGAAAAACTCTGTAAAACAAGCATGACATTTAGAACAGATGAAATTCGGTAGTCCAGTATGCCGACGTATATGACAATGAAAACGTGAACGACGTTTGCATTCATATCCACAAATAGATTGACTTGAACTGTCAACTTCATTATTGTTTGACGACTGCCAAGCACAAATTAATTTAGAACTGTCATTAATACATACTTCATCATCTTCATCTGAATAATCATGCTCCAAAACATGATCTACGAACAGATATGCTGAACTTGTACTGGAAATAATTCAATACAGAAAATAAAATTGAACAAGATAATATGAGCGTGGTGAATGAGCATTGTAATTAGGAATAAACACTCATGTTCATCACCATCATCCATCAACATAGGACAGGCATTACTGCGTAACGGACCCCGTTGCCACACCTCATATCAGTACATAAAGTAAAAAGGCAGTGAAGTGGAAGACGAAGAAAAAAAATTCAGTCACAAGAAATATAAAGTACTAAAAGCAAGAAAGGAAGAATGAAAAAATAGTGAGATTAGGTATAGAGTTGTTAAGATGAGGATAATTTGTGTGTACATCTGCGCCACCGACATCAGTTCTGAGCCATATCACCACCTACAGTCTCCAACCACTGGTTCTTCTTGTCCCACGGACCACAACCACCTAGTCTGCGTCACCCTACATGGCCCAAACCAACAGTTAAAGACTTCACACTGTTTTAGTCTGGCCACCTCGCACCTTTTTCTAGCCTGAACCTACTTCGGCCAACATTGTGTGACGATGCAATCGGCGGCTAGGCATACGTAACACGTGTCCCAACCATCTCAGTCGATGAAGGTTCACGACCCCATCAACTGATTTACCTTTACTCCCCAAAACTCATCACCTGACTTCTGCGTTACTCACGTGGTGACACTACGGAATACGGCGGCCTATGCTACGAAGGTAACGGTGGTCCACCTTCAATGGCCATGTTTCACAGCCATACAGTAGAACAGAGTGGACTGCTGTGCAGTACACGCAACTTTCAATAGACAATCGGATATCACGTCGGCGCCACAAGTGTCATAAGTTGGAAAAGCCAACCGAGTCTTTTGTATTCGTGCAGAGATTTCATCGACCACTGAGCCACCAGGGCACGGCTGATCCTACTTCCCAGGTAAGTGAAGTGGTCAACACACTCGACTACTACACTCTCTATTGTAGCCGCAGTGGGGCACCATTGAAGACCAATCATAGAGGAACAATTTGCGTTCGGGTGGTGAGAAGTGCATCCCAAACATTCTCAAATTGCACACTCAAAGTGTTCAGGAGACTTTACATCTTGTCAGCGTCTTCACCTAACAGGACTATGTCATGTAAGTCTGTTTGCAAAACAGAAAAAAAGGGGAGGGGACAGGAACTACTATAGCCCAAGTCAATAAATATGTGATTACCTTGATATGATTATCGACAATCAAGTGTGCTTGAAACGTCATCTAATAAATAATATTCTGTCATTGTGTGATATATCTAGCAAACTGACTATCATAAACAAATAAGATAGATTCAATGGAAATCAACTTCATGTTATCTGGTTCCATGTGCTGATCAAAGTTTACCGATCACCATCACAATGCCCTGAGAGAGATGTTAGTTGGATGGAAGAGATCGGCAGGAAGCCCTGGACCTCGGCTTCGGGCTTTTTGATACTCGTCAATGAGATGCATCTGCAATCCCGAGGGAACTGCTTTCCCAACAGAAATCTGAACCTGTATGTAATTCAGTCCTATAGGGGGTCGATCGCGACCCGAATAGCTCAGTGATAACGTCTCTGGTCACAGTATTGGGTGATATGGGTTCAAATCTCAGGTGGAACATCAGTTCCATCGAGGCTACATGCAAACCTTGCTGACGAGTGCCGAAAAACACAAAACCTAGATTCAGGGCTTCCAACGAATCGCATCTGTCCAACTAGCACAATAAAAATCGTCTGAAACAGTAGTAGCTCAGAATACAGCCTTCCGAAAGGAAGCCCAGCATCATTTTAGGGTACACCATTCAAATCAATATGATTTTTAATCCATACTAACGATGATGAGAATTTTGCTCAAGATAGTAGTTCACATAGTAGCCATATCAGAGTATAACTGTTATGATCTGGACAATAACTACTTCGTGCTAGTGAACTGAAATGAACCGGTCAAATGTGTTGAGCTAAAAGCAAAATAAACCAAAACAACATCTCAGTAACATGGTTTCTTCGTACAATTTGTGAAATGATCTGGTCTAAATTTAAACAAGTTGTACAAACACTAACTTCAATGACAGTTCATAATTCAGTACACAAACTGGTTAGTTTTCATCTTACTGCTTGCAGTTACTCATCGTTGACTGAACGGAATCGATCAGTCTGTATTGGTATATGGGCTCATGTGTGGATACCTCGATATTGCAGTTTCAATTTGGCAGTAATGATGGATAGTGGCTAGCAGTGGAATTCCCGATGCGGTTCTCGTCAGTCACACAGGGAATGGCTATCGTGACTCAATGGCCTGGTATATAACGCTATGGCGTTTAAAGCGATCGGTCCTAGGTTCACGTCTTAGTGAAAACGAAATCAGCCGCTGGGACGCAATACCATTTTGAATTGATGGATAACATTTGTAGCTGAGGTGGATGGTCTTGGTTATATTTTGTTCTCTGAACTGGGTTGTTTAGTTGTGGAGCTTTCATAGTCTTTCTAGACGACACCATCAGTACCAACTTCAGTATGAAGTTTATATTGAAATTAGTGCTGATGATGTGGTTTAGAAAGACGATAAAAGCTCCACGATTAAACAATCCAGCTCAAGAATACAATACAACTAAGTCTTAAGTACCATATCTGATAGTAAAGATCTGTAAATGATACACTTTCGAAAACCACTATTTTCAAGCTCCATAACTGTCAGACAATTACAGTCGATCACCACTAACAAAGATGTCGTACATGCTTCTAAATATTTAACGACCATTAGCTCAACCAACAGTCAGGGACTTCATCGACTGGTGCCACGTTTTGATCTCCCCACATTCAACTTTCCTTAGCATGTCATGTCGAGGTAGGCAGTGGCTTGGCATGTGCAGTACATGTCCAAGCTACCTCAGTCGACTAAGGTTTACAACCTCATCAATAGAATTGTTTATCTTTCTTAGTACCTTCGCTTAACCTCGACATTGCTAACACGTTGATTCCACCAAAAGCGAGCAGTGATACAAAGACATCTCTGATCAGAAACCTGTAACCGCTCCATGTCTTTTACTTTTAACGACAATGTCTATACGGCCGTATAACAGGAAATAACGCAATCCAGAGCAGTATACTCGTCATTTGATAGACAGTTGGGTATCTTGACAATTGGCGCCACAGATGACACAAACTGGCAAATGCAAAACGGGACTTCTATATCTAAGGTGAAATTTCGTTAGCAACCAGCCAACTATATTTCTGAAATATAGATGGAAGATTTAATTCAAACTGAAACATTTGAGTGAAAATAAGCTACCTATGGCCTCCTGCTAGTTGTGTAGCCGAATACTTTTGTTCGAAATGCTCAAGTGTTAGACAGAATGATAAGTGACTTAACCACTTATATGATTAAATGGCTGGTGAGAATAATAACCAAAAATAATCACTCTAGAAGCCTAAATGATAATAATAGGTAACAATTTGATATAAAATGAATATTACGAACAAAGTCATCTGAAAAAAATGACATCATCACCCTATGACTAACAAGACAGTATTAAAACCAACATATGAACTCATTCCGTTATCCTTTCATCAAAAAGAGACGATAAAGGCATATAGAGCAGTCTCAGCTATCTTCTCAGAAAAACTTGGATTAGTGATTTAATTGTTGTCTGAATTTTTTCAAACAGAAACACACTGATCCTTAGTAACTAGATAATACTTACCCTTTATAATTCGCATTGACCATGATGCAGAAAATTTTAAGAACGAATGTCTTGTAGACTGTTTACAAACAGTGATTGCTTAATTCACGGAGACACAATGCCTTAAAGATATTAAACTGTCTAGACGAGTGAGTACTTAACTAGGAAAGTATATGATGGATACCAGCGTGAAATTAATAAATCCCCACAAACCTCCAAACTGAATTAATCTAGTTCCCATTGATGACTAGCTTCGAGAGGTGATTCCTGAAGTCCCAGTGAGAAGTGGTGACCGATGGAGCCAAAAAAGTCGAACATGAGGAGAGCATTGGATGGAGGTTACACTATATCGCAAACTTATAGAAGTAGGAAATATCCACCATGGATCCTAATCCAGTGGCTCAATGGTAACGCGCTGGTCACGGAACCTGAAGCTCCTGGGTTCGATCTCTGGTTAGTGTGGGGTCATGGCTGCGCACTGCTGAGGAGTCCTATACTAGGATGAAACAGCTGTCCAGTGCTCCTAGGTTTCTATTTTTTCTCCAAATGATGTCAGTCCATGATGAATACCAACCCGAAATACATAACAGCAAGTTAGGCCTGATCACAACCCTCCATGGGTAATATTCAATAACAGATGTACTATATCACCCACTGACTCAATTTTGAAAATGTGGACCACTAGAATCTGACTCTGTGGTGGAAATACCCTATCTGCCATTATCACTACGTCATGGAAATTATGTTTAAAACTTTGTTTAAATGCAAAACGACTGTCCAAACCTAGGTAGGTGGAGCGGGTCTCGAACCCATGACCCACTTAGTTGGCAATCACCACCCTAAACCACTGAGCCACAACTTCACACTTAAACATACAGAATATTCAAAATAATAACTAAAAGGAAATTACACGTAATCACAATTTCTCCATTGACACTCAAAACCTCTTTCTAAAATGATAGGATTCCATAAGAATTTTGATGTGGATCGTTGAAGATATGCTGGTTTTTGACAACTAGGTCCAGAGCAAATAAACTTCCATATTTTATGATGACATCGAAGAAACTTTTTAGTATTCGCAACACAATTTTCAAAAAAAGCATGTAACAGTGTATGACGTAATAACTGATTATAGTCTTGAAACATATCAGTCCGACATGAATCCCATAAGCAAATAGGTGATGATATATCCTTCAAATGACATCCAACTAAATGTACATGTAAACGGATGTAGTTTGGGTAAGATTTATCACAATCACTCCATTTACATTTGAGATTTGACTCATTATCTGGAGAGAAAAAACAGAGTGAATAACACACAAATAAAATAAGAATTAGAAAGCTTAGTGAGCAGAGAAATTGTTTATTTTTCTGAAAAGTTACAAACTTTAAGGTGTACAATATTTTTTAGTACCCTCCGGAAACGTACTCGTGTATAAAGCTGTAATGATCCTTAACTGACAGTGAACTGCAAATCCCAAGGTTGATTCTCTATTTGATGCACTAAATTTTTATTTCACTTAGTCCACAGAAATTCCTTAAGACAGCGATCACCTTGAACAAGCGAATAATATAAGATGCAAGACATGGTAGAGCAGTGGGCGTTGCTGATAAGAATAGATATAAGTAGTATATGTTGAGAGGGTGGCAGAAATTATACGCAATTACCAGTAATGGGTAAGGATTCTGCCAAGAGAAATGCAAGAGACAATGAGGGCGTACTAAGAGCAAATCAAGATAGAAGCGGAAAAGGAAATGAAGCACATGATGCAAATAACTATCCCAGTGCAAGGTGTGCCATATTTGATGACTACTGTACCAGATGTTAATAATAAACATTCCTTCCTTTGCCTCTACCTCTTCGTTTCCTCCAGTAGTATTATCAGTAAAAATCCCCAAAATAACTTACTGACTATATGACTACAGTAAAAAAAAATAATAAACTGTCCTCAAACACGTCCATATCTCTACACACAGCAATGAGTTACACTTATTGTATGTGTGAGAGAGGACCGAAGATACTACCTAAATGCCCGAAACTCGGCAGATGGTTGGAAGTAAACTTCCTACACCACATGAAATGACATACAAAAACTCTAACAATCACCATGAAGATAACTCACTGTTTACTGTTGTGTAATTAACTCCAGCTTCAGACTTAATCATTTTTCATCCATAATGCATTGAAATCTGAAACAAATCAGAAATCACAGTTTTAATTAGCATGGTTAAAATGTCTGACTGAAGATTTATCATTATTTACTTAGCTTACCTACCTCGTTTTTAGTAGAATGACATGAAGACAATAACCTTTCATGGTGTAACAAAGTAAGAGAAATCGAAATACACTCAATAACCACGTTCACATGACAATCTGAAGGCTAACTTATTCGCACTTAAACAGTTGCAATATAGTGTACATCAGTATGGCATGAGTTTTCCCCGTGTCAGAGCACAAAGGCCTTTTATAATGTTGGCAGAAAAAGTGTACTTGCAATTAACTTTGGCGGTTAAGTGTTGAAAATAGTTGAAGCGCTTGTATATATGGAGAGTAGTGTGAGTAAAGGTGGAGTTATGACTGATTACACTTTCAGCCACATATTGAAATCAAAGGCAACGTACACTAATCTGGATCATCACTGGGACCGTCGAGAAGTTAGACTTGCTGCAAAAAGGTTGCTTGTAAAACGCAAGGGTACAGATAGTTCTGCTCTACGCTCATGAAATAGCCTTTCTGGGCTGCAGTTGTCCAACAAGTCTGCGTTCAATCAGTACTGCCTTCATAGATTTGCAAACACATGGTAGAAACACCACGAAAATAATTGTGAGGTGGTGCGGAGCGTGTTTAGCGTCATTTATTGATGCCAACGAAACAACGGCTTAAATGGTGTAGACATTTAAGAATGCCACCTCAGTAATTCCCATACCTTTTACTGTTTGCTAAGCATGTTACTGGATGAAAGAAACGCAGAGGTGTACTGCAGGATGAAGTACAACTGCATCGAATAACCACCAGCTGGTACCTCAAGACTGTCTGGCTGACACCGTGCTAATCACTGACTGAAGACGATAGTGGGTATGGTTCCAAATGTCAACCAGTGTCAATCACGCTGTAACTTTCTTGTTTCACCAAAAAGTCAAACAAAAATAATGAAAGTCTCTTTGAATGTATCCTTGAGGCTACTTGTTCAATAATCCGTTTCTATTTTAGCATCTGCTCGTTCTTTTCCTTTATTCCTTTCCACTACATCACTCGTGAAACTGTGGCCCAGTGATTTAGGGAGATGACTACTAACCGGTGGGTCACGGGTTTCAACCCTGCTCCACATACCCAGGTTTAAACAGCCAGGCAGTATCACTAACCTCCACACAATAGGTGTGGCTCACTGCGTACTGCAAGTAAGTGCACATTGTGGCTGAGTGTGTTTCGTTCCTTCTGCATCACTTTCATCTCTTCTCAGCCTGTTAAAGTACTTTTTATAGTCTATTTTTCAGCATACATGATGCAGCAAATCTGCATTTAAAATACAAAAATAAGTTAATAATTTAAATACCCCCATTGTAGTACCTAGAAAACACAGTTCCAGCAAACATGTACTTTCTAACAATCCTCCTCCAGCTTTATAACTACATTTACAAATTATCTAGCATATTCCTTTGATACCCCTACGATAAATAGAATTCGAGTACATGAATTAGATGATAAAAATAAGTGAAGCTGACGATCACAATAACAACATCTTACAGAAGGTTAAGTGATTTTAGTAGCAAACAATATGGATGCGAGTCTACGTCTGTACACATACAGAGGAATGAATGACAATAACACAGAAAGAGGAGAACAGAATCTTTAAATTCTCAATCAGTTACGAAACTGAGGGCAAAGTTGGAAACGGAAATACATCTGGAGAGTAACAACGATGATAAAATTTACGCTACACAGAGTGAAAAGTAGTCAGCACGAACAGTCAAAGACTGCATGCAATGATGCCATGTTTTAGTCTGACCTCTTCCAGCCTTCTTCATCCTGAACATACTTCATCCAACATTGTGTGATGAGGCAGATGGTGACTGGATATCTGTGACATCCCAGCCACTTCAGTTGATGAAGGTTCACATCCTCGTTAGATGACTTTCATCTGCTTCATAGACATCCACACATGACTTCTGCATTACTGACGTGATGAACGTGACGAAATGGGAATATTTGGTCGATACATATACGGTCAGGTCCGAGACGTGACTGATTTTCTCGGACTTGCTGTTCCCGAGCTCCACTCAGACGTCTACTGATTTTAGGACCTAGAACTTTGGACATTATGTTCGTCAGGTTGATTTCTCAACGGTTATCACAAGAGGACTTCTCACCTTTCTGGAAGACCGAAAGAATCAGTGGTTGAGACCAGTCAATAGAAATCATATTTGACTCCCATGCACTAGTTAACGATTCAATTAACTTGACTAAAAGAACTCTACCACCGTCCTTTTATACCTCAGGAACTGGTCCATCTGGTCCTGCTCTCCTTCCTCGTTTCAAGTTACCTGACGCTCTCTCGACTTCTGCAAGTGTTGAGGAGTCTATCTCAATATCCCATTCAGAATACGACTTTGCAAGCTCTGAGCGTCAGGTAACTTGAAACGAGGAAGGAGAGCAGGACCAGATGGACCAGTTCCTGAGGTATAAAAGGACGGTGGTAGAGTTCTTTTAGTCAAGTTAATTGAATTGTTAACTAGTGCATGGGAGTCAAATATGATTTCTATTGACTGGTCTCAACCACTGATTCTTTCGGTCTTCCAGAAAGGTGAGAAGTCCTCTTGTGATAACCGTTGAGAAATCAACCTGACGAACATAATGTCCAAAGTTCTAGGTCCTAAAACCAGTAGACGTCTGAGTGGAGCTCGGGAACAGCAAGTCCGAGAAAATCAGTCACATCTCGGACCTGACCGTATATGTATCGACCAAATATTCCCATTTCGTCACGTTCATCACGTCAGTAATGCAGAAGTCATGTGTGGATGTCTATGAAGCAGATGAAAGTCATCTAACGAGGATGTGAACCTTCATCAACTGAAGTGGCTGGGATGTCACACATATCCAGTCACCATCTGCCTCATCACACAATGTTGGATGAAGTATGTTCAGGATGAAGAAGGCTGGAAGAGGTCAGACTAAAACATGGCATCATTGCATGCAGTCTTTGACTGCTGAAGTTAGCCATGCGGTAAAAATGTAGACTTCCCGGTTAGGATTAGCGGTACAACGCAAACCAGTGTTCGGAGACTCTATGTGACACAGTTCAGAATGTATGTCAGATGTATCCACACTTTGTCTCTATTTTAATCTTCGTATAGCATTCAGCATATTCTCCTTCATCTTTCCTCCCTTTTCGCTGGTTTCTTCTTCATCCCTTTATCTTTCATCTGGTAGCTCTTATAGCTCGTAAATCTCTACTTTAATATGTAGCTGGAGAGATGTAGCTGCTATACTTGGAAAGCTGGAGTTGTCACTCACTGGTCTAGACGATCGACATTTAATTAATGAGTCATCCATTAAAATACCGTTCTAATTACCGAGGTTCGAGCAGCTCAAATACAATGAATGCGGCTCACTACCTAATCCATAAGCCTGCAAACGTTTACAGTCGCATTTATTCAGTAAATACTTTAGAAACACCAGTCAGCAAGCTGACAATGGTAGATGAGTGATTCCTAGCAATTAACAACTTTATATACTGTTTGTCTTGGTGAAGCCTCACCTAAACCCAAATATGAAGTCTGATAGATCGCAGATGGCTGATGGATGGCTAGTGCCCTTTACAGAGAATCTAAATCGATGCAGAAAATGCATAACTGGAAGATACTTCTGAAATCAACTCGAGGATAAAAACGTGTAGATACATTAACATGAAGTGAATGGCAGCGGTCCAGATCTTCATCTCACCTTCAATCATCACTCAGTACAAAAAAGTAGGTTAAAGTCAAAACATTTCAATAGATTCGTTTCAACGGATGTAAGCCGAAAACTCAACCTAGATTACTTTCAACATGGTGAACGTAAGATACAATCATGTACTGCTAAAATATTTTATTGACTACACTATTCGCCTTTATCCGTTCCATCTACTTCGGTCAGCAAAAAGTGAAGACGCAACCCAACAATCACAAGCACTTTGATGGAGTAAGCGGTGAGGTACACCTACTGTGTGAGGAATGGTGCTACTACGTATTCCCAAACCAACAAAAAACCTAAATGTGACGTAGATGTCAATTCCCCGACTGCCGTCGAAGTTGAGAAAGCTGCATCGAACTTCAAACGATCAGAAGCAACAGGATCTGACGCTCTACCATCCATCGTTTCAAAGGATGGAGGCATCACATTACTCAAAGGATGACGAAGGTTTTACGTAATGCATGAGAGTCAAAGGTGAAGCCACGAAAACGGTCAACATCACTGATAATCTCAGTCAAAAAGATGCCAGAAAAGTCATTTTATGACAGTCACATGGGAACAGTTTGACTGATAACGTATTCAGCCTTCTGAGTTCACATGTATCCCATGTTTAACTAAAGCTCAAAAACAGTTAACACGAGAATATAGCACAGGTAAGTCAACCTTGATGAACCCTCTCACGAGCAGAGAAGATTGAGTTAAATTAAAGGAAGATGAGGTAAATACAGCTGTCAGTTTCACAGACTTCATTAAAGTGTTCAGCAAAGTACCACATCCCTGACTTCCTATGAAAATAAAAAGTACGGTAATTACTGGTAATATACTTGCATCGCATTACTATAGAGGAATTAGCCTGATTATCATTGTGTTCAAGACCCTAAGTCCATAGTTACCCAATGCCTAATTGGAGCCCAAAACAGCGAACTCGAGAAAACTATACACGTTTCAGAACTCAACGAAACTCCACCGATCATATTTCCACCCTCCAACAAGTTCTGGAACACAGTCATACACTTACCGGTCAGTGGTCGACACTTACCACATTTCTTGACCTGAATGCCACATTTGACTCAGTTGATCGTGAGGTATTGTAGCAGCATCCAGCCATGAAAAGAGTACCGAGCAAGTACATAACGCTAATCTAAACTCTCTACTCGAACTCACGCAACCATGTCAGGGTTTATGCAGAGTTGTCATGTGAATTAACGACAACTAG